ACCAGCATCTATCAAATAAATAAATAACAAAGTGATAAACATAGTAACATTCCGACATGTTCTTACTATCATTATGTTACGTGCACTATTCCATGATACTAAATGTTACATAATACTGTACTTCTTTGGGATAAATGTACAGTATATATCAGGTGTCTTCAAGAGAGTTCAGGCTTAACTTTGCATTTTTCTGACTAAATAAACTGTTTCAATATCAATAGACATACAGTAGAACGTGAATTTTAAGTGATACAATTTAAGATTATTGATTTAAAGTGACGCCCACAATTAAGGACAATGTTTTATTTTTAAGCAAATCTTTCCTATTTGCATAAGTCAATCTGGCGCATCATATTTAATATTTCGCGCCTAATGTTTCTCTGGGCACACTACACTGTCCTAAGGGCAAAGCTGAACTGTACATATACTCAAAGTAATGTATTAAATGATGACTAAATTTTTTGTCTAGTGAAAACTATAGTATGTTTATATTCAAATTATGTGACATTTTATAAGCAAAAAACAAAAACTCAAGCTAAAGAACATAATAAACAAATAAATACTTCACTAGACCCTCGCACCAACTGTGAAACATGTCACTGTCACTTCCCTCCCCCACATCTTCCCAGCCAGGGTTTGGTGTTTTAGGCTTAAAGTTTTTATCTTATATAATGTCACAGACTAAAGTTAGGAGAATATAATTTGTATTGCTGGAATCCTTGGAAGACAGTGAATAATTTGAATATAAACGTCATATATTTTGCACGAGATATTTTTTTTTGCTCTTTGTAGTAAAATTCTTAAATTAGAACTAAAATTTGTATGTCTAATGCAAACTACGTATAGCATGTTTAAATTCAAATTAATTTTTATCTTAAAAGAATTCCATCAATGTAAATTATATTCTCCCATGTCAGTTCAGTGACATTTTATAAGAGAAAAACTTAGTCACTCTTAAGAACAGATAAATAAATAAGCACTAAACCTTGGCATCAACTGTCAATCATGTCACCTCACCTCCCTCTCCCCCATCTTCCCAGCCAGTAAACAGATCATTTCGCATCCCTTAATTTTAGCTGTGTTGATTTATGAGTGTTTGTTTTAACATAATACTGTACTAAAAAACACAATGCTTTGTTTATTCTAGGAGATGGGCTGAGGTGCATCTGGGTAGACTCTCAGTCTTTTTAGTATTTTGTGTTTCTCTCAAGTACCAAACTAAATTATTCCATTGAAACAAAACTTCGATTTAGTGTGAATTCGGTTTAAAGCGACCTCTCTTGGAACATATCTCGCCTTATATCGACGTTCTACTGTACTGAATTCAGCTTAGGCCATCTTGTTTTTTATGTACAGTATACAAGTGATCAGTTGATGGCTGTTCACTACACCCTCCAGGTAACAGAGAGCTATGTAGCACACGGTATTGCTCAAGTAAAGTCGGCAGTTTTAACCATTAAGGTGCTCGTGGGAACATGTTTTCCAGGATCTTACCCTGCGCTAGCGGGAGCAGATATGATTGATTGATTGTGGTACAGTAATTAAGTTCCTAGCTATGCAACAGCTTAGGTCAAATGTCGCCAAATTAAAATAAAAGCTTAGAAGACTACAATCAAATAATGCATGATAAAAAACATAAATAATAAATAGCATAAAACTTTTGTAAAAAACATTTATACATTAATAGATAAAACTCAAAGATTGTGTAGGACAGCTTCCTCCACATAGGAGAGGACATCCCCTCCCACACTACTCACGCCCTCCCCCAGCACCAAAGAGATGGTAAGACCCGTCTCCCCCTCTGGTACTGGGAGAAGTGCTATGATGAAGATCTCTGAGACTGGGGCACTCCACAAGGATGTCAAACAGTCAATGGGACCAGGCAGTCATCACAATGGGGAGGGGGTAGGTACCCACATGCTGCGAGCTCAGTTGAATAGGATCAGAATGGAATGTGAAAAAATTCAACCTCACAGAGCGGTGACGCCACTTACACTGCAGGCTGCCAGTTGGCCCAATACGTGGGAAATTTTATGCTTCTTAAAATAAAAATATATAAATAATGGATGCATATTACTGTATTGACAGTATTGCTCAACAGGAAGATCTAATAGGTAGTCAAAATACACAAATATATAAGCAAGGAAAACACTGTAGAATATGGTTGGCCCATAAAATAATACAGCGATGTCCTTAGCCACCCGAAGATCCTACACTGTGTATCTAAGGGAGCATACAGAAGTGAGATTGTAATTTTTGTGATCCATGAACTAAGTTTTCATCCTGTCAGAGAAAAATATTAATTTTCCAACTTTTCTTATTCATGAAAATACACTCTTGTGAGTAGACAACCTTACATCCCATTGCACCTAAGGACCAATAGAATGTAGAAATAATAATAATAATAATAATAATAATAATAATAATAATAATAATAATAATAATAATTAACGGTTTATTGAAAGAGCTTGGCAGCCAGAAGGCTGAAAATATACAGTTACATATTTGGGGAATGGGTTACGAATTACAAATAATATACAAGTAACATGAGTGACACAAATAAGACATATAATAACTAGATGGGGAAAAGCTCAAACTACAGTTCATTTCAACATAGTGACAGTGCAAGGAGTAGTGTTTACTGGGAGTGAATACACTGATTTATTACAAGTTATTGATAATTTTACAATGGTTGGGACTGGGCTGTTCTTATAGCGATCAGTTCGTGCACGTATGGGCTGGATGCGGTTGTGGTGTCGAACAGCAATTCTCGGACTAAGGATCTCAGGTGGTAGTAGGAGCCGGTGTCGAGGATGGTGTAGAAGCTTCTTACCAAATTTGCAGATGAGGTCGTGGTGATGGTCAGTGAGAGTCGAAAGGGTCAGTGTGTTGAGCGCTTCTTGATATGTGGAGTAGGAAGGGAGAGAATAATCTTGCATGCCCTCTTTTGCACTTTTTCTAGGTGTTTACGTTGTGTGGCATTTAGGGAGGAAGACCAGGTGGGGGAGGCATAGGTGAGCTTGGGAAGTATGAATGTTGTGTAAACACTGAGGAGCTCGTGTGCAGGAACTCTGAGGGACTTGAGTCGGCGTAGGAGGTGGAGACGGAAACTGGAGGATTTGATAACTTCACTGACGTGTGGTTTCCAATTTAGTTTGTTGTCTATGGTGACGCCGAGGAGCTTCGTGGAATCTACAACCTGGAGTGTGTTTGGACCTAGAGTAATGGAAGGAGGTGGGACAATGTCGGAGGAGAGGTTGATGTGCATAACCATGGTCTTGGTATGGTTGATGGTGACATGGTTGTTGGTGGCCCAGTTTTGGAGACTGTTCAATAAATCCTGAAGGGCGGTATAGTTGGGAGCAGAATTGTTGACGCTGATCCCAATGGTGGAGTCGTCGACATATTTCCAGCGAGCAGGGGTTTCTCTTAGGGCATCATTGATGAGCATAAGGAAGCAGAGTGGTCCCATCTTGGTGCCTTGGGGACGCCACAGGTGAGTGACTGAAAGGTGGAGACAGCCCCTCGGAAGCGTACAGCTTGGCGTCGGTCACTGAGGAAGTCTGTAAGCCATGGTATAAGACTTCTCCGAAGCCCGAGGTCAATAGCTTTGTTGATGATTATATTGTGGGCGACTAGGTCGAACGCTTTAGTGAAATCAATGAAGGCAACAGCTACAGACGTTTTTCGTTTCTCGAGATGGCGGTATATGTAATCGAGAAAGCTGACAAGACAGTGAGTGGTGGAGGAAGTTTTCATGTTGCCAAATTGCTGAGGGTCTACGACTCCTGCAATATCAGCATAAGCCCAGTCGAACACAAAACTTTCACAGATTAGGCTGGGTATGTACCCTATTAGCTGCAAAAACCTAAAAATAAAAAAGGCTTCTAATTCACACCTCATAGGTCCATTTATTGGAAGCTTAACACAGAAAATGCTGCCCCTTACTGTACTAAAGTAAAATGACAGAGACAGATAATGCAGTCAGCATAGTTAGAAATGCATGGATATTACAAAATCTCATTTTCCTGAGAACAGCTTTATTACAAGTGAGATACCTACAACAGTAAATTCATTCTGGTACAGAAGAGATACATGTCTGGACTGCCTTTTATAGGTTAGCAATTAAGATCAGTCAAATTACTTTTTATAAGGATGTTTTAAATTTCAAGATGTAGCTAATCTGTTATTAACAATATTCAAACTGAATACATGATTAGCAATGATAAAATTTTGATATTTTATGCAGTATACTGTATACAGTATGTAGCATTCAGTGTCCATATTATGATAATATACCTTACATTCCATTCCTAAATTTCTATAAAATTTTAAATAGATGTTAAATTCAATATGTAGACAATACTTGCACGGTATAAATATTTCATGACCTTTCTGGTCTTAACCCATTATAGGGTGGATAATTACTTCAAAAGAAAATCATAAAACCTTTTATCCATCTTATAACCTGGGATACCTAAATTTTTCCAAAAGTAGATCAAATTTATATTTTCTTTTTAAATAGTTACAGTATAATGTTATTCAGCTCATTATGCAATTGAAATCTGGTGAAATTGACTGTAGCATGTTGCATTAATAGCTATATACAGCACTAAGTTTAATCATGTGAAGGTGCTGGATTAATTACTAAAGCACAACTTTTTAAAAATTAAAAAGTTAAACTTTATTAACCTCGTGTGCTGAATAAAATTTTCTGGCGTTAGCCAAATAAAATAGTAAAAATGGTCCTGTAGTTAATGTCAACTATGACAAATATTTTGCCATACGCTAATTCTGCACTTCAAGCAATAGAGAAGTAAAAATTTTACATACATTACACTAAAATATTAAAGTAAATATTTCAATTTCTTAGAAAGGCATAATTAGTACAGTCAAACCTATTGTACATTAAGGATACCCCTCAATGTAGAGCTGAGAAGAATATCTTTAATAATAACTGCTAGGAAATTGTTTACAAAAGGACTGAACAAAAGTAAAAAAATATTTAGAAAAGTTTAATTAATTCTTTCAAACACATACAGCCAACTGTACTCTCAAAGTAAGTTTTTTTAATAGCATAACTGATACATAACAAAGATATAAATCTATATATTTCGCCAAAGGATGGCCTAAATAACCTTTGGTACCTTGTTAATATCTTCTTTAACTTTATCGTAAAGATCCTGATATTTATCGTTTTCACGAATAAGAACAGTAAGTGAACCTCTCTTGACCCCCATTGCAGCTCCAAGGTCTTGTCGAGAAGGTGTGTAAATGTATGGCAGCTGTTTTTCTTCACAAACTGCAGGGAGGTGGCACATCACTTCAATGGGTGAAACATCTCCAGCAAATATCACAATTCTGTAAATAAGAAGTGACCAAGGAGTTGTCATTAGATGGACTGGTCTGGTACATGGCCTTTCTATCACACTGTCATGTACACTGACCTACTTACTGATAAGATACAGTATCCTGGTCAATAAAAATTTTACATACTATTTCCAGCATATACTGGTATACTGTACAGTAATATGAAAATGAATGAAGTCTGTAAAACTACAAAATGCTATTCTTTGGGGTATGTACAGTAAAGATTTGTATGACTATTTGGTAACAATGACAATCTTCCAATAACTTTTTCTGTGTTTTTATACGCCACCATTTTTTCTCTACATCCAATAAACAAGGCTTACATAAATGGAAAAAAAAACAAGTGAATAAAAATAATAACTTACCCTGTCTCGCCTTTCCTAATCCTGGTTTGGACATCTTTAAGACCATTTCTGAGATACGTCTTATGTTGGGAAGCTGAAATGAAGAATATCTAGGATGGGATAATTGGGTTTTGAAATTTGTTAAATTTTCATTCTTTTATGAAAACAGCCTCCTGTTACACCTTTAAAAAGAAGTTTGACTGAGGCTCGGCAATTTACAAATTCTAAATACAATACCATAAATTTATAACAGTTCCAGCTAACCCCATATTTTCCAAGCTCTTCCCACAATCAGGTTGTAAATTAAGACAGTAATGTAGCTCTTTAATTTATAAAATGAAAACCAGTGGCAGAACAGGAAAAAAGATTAATTTACAATGAAAATAAAAGTAGACTATGTGTTTCATTCCGTGAATTAAGAAATAGAACTGAACTTGATCGGCTTTTATCTGGAAAAAAAAACCACACACACACACAGTCGTCTTCCCTAAACTCCATCCAACGTCAGCTAGAGAAGGTACAGAAAAGGGCCTGCAGAATCATGCTCGGCGCTGACTACTCCGGCTACACCAACGCTCTCTCCACCCTGGAAATGTCATCCCTCAGTGACCTCCACCACCAAGCACTGGAAAGGTGTGGCAGCCAACTATTGCACCACCCTCGTCATCGCCCCCCACCCACCTCGCGCAGTCCGCCACTACAACAAAATTCAGCCCATAAGAGCCCGCACCGATAGATATAAGAACAGCACCATTCCATCTATTGTTAAAATAATAAACAACGCCTGATTTATGTACTGTACAGCCCTGTAAATGTATTCAATGCATATTATATCATTATGTCTAAATCAAATGTAAGTGTATATTTTCAGCCACCGACAACTCTATTAATAAACCGTTTATTATTATTATTATTATTATTATTATCACACACACACACAGGTAGTCTCGACTTACGACGGGGTTAGGGACCCAAATCCAGGTTGTAAGTCGAAATGGTCGTAAGTCCGACATAGATAAAAAAAAAATGTAAAAAAAAAAATTCTACAATGAAATACAGTCCAGTAAAAGTAATAGATAATGAGGAATGGATACAGTGGGACTGAGCACTTACCTTTAATGTAGTCAGCTGAATGCACACGGGGCCCCCATAATTTTCTATTTACAGGTATACATGGAGACTATAGTAATTGGATGAAGCAGAGGACGAGACAGGGCTGGGTGAGTCATCAATGTCACTTTCTTCAGACAGGTTTATGTACTGTGGAAACTTGTTGGTTGAAGGTATTGGATCATCTTGATGGAGTGAAGAGACAGCACCGGGGGACTTCTTGAAATAGATGTCCAATTTAGACTGCACAGTTTGCTTTTTTTTTTCATTATAAATTTCTCTGTAGCAAGCAAGTGCATCTTGGATCATTCCGTCAACTTGGCATAACACTCATAATTTTGATCCTTGCCATCAAACATTTGCATTCCTTTATTAATTGTAGCAAATGCCTCTGCCATTTGCTACACTGAAAACTTTTTGGGGGGTGCAGGTCCTTCTTCTACATTTAGACTGGCTTCTTTCTCTGCACCTTTGTGTGCTTCCAGTTCGATGAGATCTTCGTTACTGAGCTCTTCTGCTACACTTTCAACCAACTGTTCAACATCTTCATTATCAATTTCTAACTGAAGCTGTTTACCTAACTCCACTATCTTGTTACTAATATCCAAAATAACTTCATTTTCATTAAATCCTCTAAAACTGTTCACATATCTTTTCAGGACTTTCTTCCATATTCCAGTCATGCAATGTTTTGTAACCTGATCCCATGCTGCACTAATGTTCTTTATACATGACAAAACGTTGTACTCCTTCCAAAACTCTCTGAGTGCTTTCTCACCTTCAGTAGCAGCAACAGCCTGAGCGAAGGTCGTACGTAAATAATACGCTTTAAAGGCAGCAATAGCACCTTGATCCATGGGTTGGATGACAGAGGTAGTGTTAGGTGGAATGTACACTACCTTAACATCGGGGTGCATGTCGTCCAGGTGTGGTGGGTGTCCCGGAGCATTATCCAAAATCAGCAAAATCTTGAATGGAATCCGTTGTTGCAGACAATACTCCTTGGCTCGAGGAATGAAACAATTCATGAACCAATCCTCAATCAGTACAATGGTCATCCAGGCTTTCTTGTTTCTGCGATAAAACACTGGCAGTGTGTGCTTGCTGACATGATTAAAAGCCCTGGGGTTCTCTGAATGATAGATCATGAAGGACTTTGGCTTGAAACCAGCAACATTCCCCCCTAACAGAAGTGTAATTCTGTCCTTGAATGCCTTGAATCCTGGCATTGTTTTCGCCTCTTTGTGGATGTATGTCCGCTCAGGCATGCGCTTCCACAATAATCCAGTCTCATCCACATTGAGTATTTGCTCAGGCAAATAATTCCCTTCCACAATCACATCACTAACTCCTCCTTAAAAACTTCGGCAGCACCAACATCAGCACTAGCTGCCTCTCCACTCACCTTAACATTGTGTAGACTGTAGCATTTTTTAAATCTATTAAACCACCCATGACTTGCTGTTAAGGTTTGCTCACATTCATCTCCTGCCTGCTCCTTCAGGCTTTGGAACAGGCTTCTTACTTTAGCCTGTAAGATTAGAAGGCTTATGGGTACACGCTTCTGTGTTTGGTCTTCTATCCATATCACCAATAATTTTTCCATATAGTGAATAGGACCTTGTCTTTTCTTCGAAATTATAGTTCCCTTTATAGGTGTTTTTCCTTTCACTACATCACGAATACGTTCCTTGTCCTTCAGAATAGTGGATATGGTCGAGTGCAAGAAACCTAGGTCACATGAGATTGTTGCTACAGTTTTTCCATTCTCATACTGCATTATTATCTTCATTTTCATCTCAAAAGTAATTGCCTGTCTCCTTTTCTTTGGAGCACCACCAGCACTCTCACTTGTACGCTTTCCAGTCATTATAAAGTCAATTAAATACGATAATAACGTAATTTCACAGCGCGATCAGTATAGGATACGATAGCCAAACACCAACTAGGCGCTGTACTGATTGAGTGTAACCACGCGGTGACCCAAGCCAGCCACGCTCTCGCTCTGGACAGAGACGTTTCGGTATAGAAAATGCGTGCGTCATTTGAAAAAATTTTTGGTCACGACTGCGGCGGTCGTAAGGTCAGAGCAGGTCGTAAGTGCGGATTGACGTAAGTAGTAAGTCGGGGAATAAATATATATATATATATATATATATATATATATATATATATATATATATATATATATATATATATATATATATATATATATATATATATATATATATATATATATATATATATATATATATATATATATATATATATATATATATATATATATATACATACATATATATATATATATATATACACACACACACAGTACAGACCCTCATTTAACGAACGCCTCGGTTAACGAAATTTCGGTTAACGAACTGCCTTCCATAAGGATCTTCAATTCTTAACAAAAATTCGGTTAACGAATTTCTTACGAACCGACCTCAACATGTTTTCGCTTGCACTGACTGGGCAACCAGCTTTAGTATCAGTCCGCCAATACATTAATCGGTTCTAGGGCTTAAATTACTTACTATTTTAGTAAATATCAAGAAGTTTATACTATTCAATAATTTCAAAAGTTTAATATTCAATTTTTTTTGTCATTTTAACAATTATTGAACATAATTGAAGGTAAAGTGACTAGTTTAATGCGCGGCATCCAGCCTCTTAACACAGCAAACAGGTGTTAGTTTCTCTGTTTTCACTGGAGGTAACATCTTGCTTGACTCTCTTCAACTAAACGCTTTTTTTCTGTGTTTCCAAGCAAATTATTGGTCATTTTGAAATATATTTTACATATTGACAATATATAATGCAGTGCTGATGTTGATTTAAAGAAATAATCTTGGATGCAAGAAGGCTAAATTTTATGGGTGAGGAAATGGCCAGCCATGGGGTGACTTCTCATCACCCAATGCCTTCTCTTCTTCCTTCTCCTCCCCCATTCTAAATCCCATCGCTCATCCATCATCATCCAGGGCCTTCTACATACACACACCTCCAAAGTGGTGAACAGTTCTACCATTTTGTTGAATTTAGGAAATTTTTAATTTGAGCTGGAACCAGTACCCCAAAACCCATTGAAACAATGGTTTTTGAGTTACTTGAACTTTTGGGTTAACGAGCGACCTTCTGGAGCGGTTGAGTTCGTTAACCGAAGTCACTAATATTACCCGCGCGGGTTTCGCCGTCGATTTCCATTATCGGCGGTGCCTCGCCAGAGCCGAACTTTCACTTAACGCGGGTTTTTTCCACGTATACGCAGTGAGTGTCCGGCTCGAGACGCTATTTTCAGATTCGCCCGCCTCTCCCTCCTCCTCCCTCCGCTTGGGCAAGCCGCGCGGTAAGGTTGCGCAGTGTGTGCCTTTGTTGCGTTATCACTGACGTCATATGACGTATCGGACTGTGATTGGCCATGCATCCCTACCCCCCTCTGCTGCTAGCTGTAATTGGCTTAAAGTATTGTGACGTGACCACCCGGGGGAGGGAGGGAGGGAGGGAGGAAAGATGACGCTTGACCTAGCCGCGGCAGTTTCATCCCTCCAGGCCGCTCCGTGTATACGTGAACCCATTGTTCTGTGAAATGGCTTCCGCCGGACCACCACCGCCACCAGAGAGAGACCTTTCCTTACCTGGACCCAGCCACCCTAAGCCCAAGAAGACACGCCGTGGTCTAAGCTATGAAGTGAAGTACCAGATCATTCAAGATTTGGAGAAAGGAACACGGCAAGTTGATCTCGCGCGCCAGCATGGCGTCAACGAATCTACGATTCGCACTATCAAGAAGGATGCAGCCAAGATCAAAGAGCACATGAAAATCACAAAGTCTGCAGGTGCTTCAACGATCAGGTATTGCCAGAACAGGGTGCTGGCAAAAGTGGAAAATTTGCTGGTGAGTTATTTGATTCGTCAGGCGCGACGCAACATGGCGGTGGACACGCGCTCAGTGCAGGAGTACGCACGTGAGCTATACGCAGC